GAGGGGCGGGTTAGAAATAAAACTTATTATTATTATTATTATTATCTCTCCCCCCATGTATAGGGTGTATAGAGTGCTTTTCAGGAGGGCAGTTCAACTAGGTGAGATGCATGGAAAAGTGGAGCTGTGAACATTTTGGGCACACATGGAACATCACATTGCAGGGCTCTGTTTTACATAGTCTAAAATAGAGGAGGAGAACCTGTAGCCCTTCATGTACTTTGCATATAGTTCCCACAGTCCCTTGCTTTTAGGTCGTGTTTTGTTGGGTTTATAGGAACTGAAGTCTAACATCTGAAGGGCAAAAAGTTCCCCATCTATGGTGCAAAATTACCTTGTCTTTTACAGGCTAACAAACTGTAACTATAAAGCAATGGGTCTTTTGGACTGATCTGTTGAGATTTTTTTTAAAGATGAAATCCTACAGTAGGGAGTTACCAAGAGGAAAATCCTAAATGTTAGGAATGATGAAAACCAGAAGGAGAATCCTGAAACTCAAGAGTGCGGACATCTCCAGGTTGCCATACGACAGGAATGGATAACAGTGGAGGATTTGTGCCCAATTTTCATGCCTCAAATCCAACCACAAAGTGATTAGAATCCACTTCTGGTTCCTAGTTCCTGGTTCTTTGAGACAGTTTTTGAGCAATTTTTAGAGAAAAAAGTAGGTTTGGGGTGCTTTAAGGCAAAACCCTGATCCCATTTTGTGGCATAATTTTTCATTTGATTTCTCCCCACCCCATGAGGAATCGTGGGGGAGGCTTGGGGTTCAAAACGGTGTACAATCAACACTTTGTCCACCTCTGCCCTACATCTGTTTAGTGTGAACCACTTCAGTCTAGGCACCCAAACTTTCCCCACCCAAGCCAGTGAGAGCCAGAAGGTATATCCCCAACACTGATGATGACATGCCTCTCAAGAAGATTGGCACAGCCTAATGCAGAGAAGTATAGAGGAAGGATAACACATTGTGGCTGGGGCAAGACATGGCCAATGCAGGGTGGGCAGAATATAACCTATGGGCCACACTTGTCCACTAGGGCCATTTTTGTAACCCATAGAAGTCAAGGCATTATTTTGTCTCAAAATGTCCCCAGTGTGCCTTGTAGTGAAATGAAACTAATTCTCTCCCTCAGGCATTTTAATCTCATGAGAGGCCTTTTTCTAAAACAAGAAGTGAACCAAAAATGACTGGAAGTCACTTCTTGTTGCTAAAGGAGGTCTCTCCTGGGCCTAAGATGGCCTGAAGGGCAGAAACATGACAAGAATGCGCCTCCAGAGGGCATTTGAGGACATTTTGGGACCAAAATGATTTCATGTAGGGTGGTGATAGTATTAGGTACAGCCCTTGAAGTTCACACCCCCTTAGAGGGAGGTGCAGCCTCTTAGGGGGGTTGCAGACTGCCAGAAATAGTGCAAATTGAGTCCACTTTTAGGGTTAGGGTTAGGGTTAGGGTTAGGGAATCATGGGAACTGTATTTTATTGTGGCACCAGAGCTCTCTGACAGAGAAGGCTCAATGTCTCAGGGGAAAAAAAACAGTTCCCATGATTCCCAAGCACTAACCCTAACCCTAAAAGTGGACTCAGTTTGCACTATTTCTGGCAGTCTGCAACCCCCCTTAGTCTCCTTGCCCACCTCTGGCCTGGGGAATGTACCAATTGATCAACTATGTATTTTGCTATGTAGAACACTATAAAATTGTATTCCTGAAACATGTGAGGTGGGGAGCGGTATCTAGTTGAACCATTCATCTGAGGGCTGCATGGAAATTTCTTATAGTTTCATATGCTTTCATACTTGACATATGCTTCCCCACTCCCAATGCCAGCATTAGATTGAGAGTGGTGTCATTGCTAACTGTTCCTGTTGTGTAGTTCCCTGGTTTTCAAAGTACAGGGTGACAACTGATAGCCTTTGTTTGTGCTTCCTGTCAGTCACAACGGAGAAAGCAGAGCTGAAAGCAATTTTGTGGCCTTCTATTAGGCAGGGTGAGATAACTATTCCATGAAAGATATTTGGGTTCTATTAACAGTAAGGTACACTGCCAATGATATAGTTTATTATTAGATATAGGGTCCACACATGTGCCTCAGTGAGTGTGTGTATGTGTCATTGAAAAAGGCTTCTATGAAGCCCTTCCTCTCTTACTTGTTCAGCAGTCCTTAATCCTTGACCCATAGGAGTGACTGCCATGCTGGTTGTCATCTGAGTAAGATGCTCAGAACATTGGGTGAGGGTCTTCATTTGGATGAGTAGGGCTGTCTCTTCCAAATAAAGAGCCAGGAACAAACAAAGGGGGGTTGCAGACTGTCAAAGTGTGAATTCAGTCCACTTTTAGGGTTAGGGTTAGTGCTAGGGAATCATGGGAATTGTTATTTTTCTGAGACA